ATATATATATATCCATTGTGAGACCAATCAAGGTTTTCTTATTCTTATTCTTATAGATGTGAAAAACATGAACATGTAATAGTGTCCAAATCGTCGACTTGGCCAATCCGTAGACTCGGCTGAGCTTCGTCCGGGAGACTCCAAAAGTGAGAGACAAGTTCAGCCTTCACCCACAGCGAGATTTCCTTCTGCTTCCATTTACCGGACGTGTTTTCAGGCCATGTGCGCCGTGCTTCCGGAAGTGCGCCAATCTACGAGTTGATCTGGAAGCGTTGCTAAGCAACGGAAGGGAATCCCGCGCTGTACAATTTGTTCAGAAGCGCGGTCAGGGCGGCACTTCGCTTCCCATCGTTCGTCGTAACGAAGGCCTTTGAACTATTTTGTGGCAAGTCGTTGTCGGCAATCTCGTCAAATGGAAAATGAATTACGTGGAATGTAATGGGAGTGAAAACGTAAATGGGGTACGTTGAAAAGAGGTTCACCTGTATGTGTGTGTGTGTGTGTGTGTGTGTGTGTGTGTGTGTGTGTGTGTGTGTGTGTGTGTGTGTGTGTGTGTGTGTGAGAGATATATCGATATCCGTGTTCCATCAAAGCAGAGAAGCGTGGAACAGTGTGTAGGTTTTTGCCCGTGATTTGCCGCCTCTCTCTCTCTCTCTCTCTCTCTCTCTCTCTCTCTCTCTCTCTCTTTGATAACGCATCTTCGCCGCATCACACTAGATGAGGAAAAAGCCGCAGATGCCTGGCCAGCAAAGGGGGGGAACAAAAAAAAAAAAAAATCATGAGAAATGTCAACCAATGCTGTCGATGGCTGCCTCCCTCCCACTGTTCTCCTGCCCGCCTGTGGATGTTTGCTGCCTGGAGGTTGGAAGGCAGCGGGGGAGGATGCTCACACCGTCGCTGGCCGCTGTGCGGACAGGGGGCGACCGCGCCGGAAAATTTGCATCCAAGCAACATTCCCGCACACCGGCGGAGGCTTTTAAAGAAGGTTTTTCACCAACGGATTCTCCCAGAAGAAGGAATGCCGAGTGTCTTGCGTGGAATTTATGACATAACGAATCAAGTGCCTTCTCGCCAGCTGAGCATTTTGTCTTCAAGTTGATTTCGTATTTCATGACTGTTTTTTTTTTTTTTTTTTTTTTTTTTTTCAAAATCAGGAAGATACTTGTCGAGCTTTTATAGCCGCTAGTGACAGCTTGGAATCCCCTCCGAAGGTTGCGGGGAATTCCTTGTAGTACCGGTCGTAAAAGCGCAGTAGAGGCGACGCCGGGAGTTTCCATGAAAAAAAATCCTTCAAAGTAGTGATCAGGCAAGTGATTTGGAATTCTGTTTTTATTTTGTAGCCTTGATTTTCGATACGGTACTTCTGTGCCGCTATGACCGTGAGCATTTGTAGCTGTTGAGTGGTTGAGTTCATTTCGCCTCACAGTTCTGAAGTTGCAGGTTCGACTTTCCTCTCCGGCTTCCCTGTGGGGCGTTCATACGTTCTCCACGTGCTTGTGTTGGTTTCCACCAGGTACTCTGGCTTCCCTGCCGCGCTCCGAAAACACAAACTCATCTCTTTTCGTTGCCGTCGGCGTGTGTAAACGCATTGTCCAAAGTTGGTTGCCCGCACGATCCGTGCCAGGCGGAGTTAACGGGTCACCATGACAGTTTGAGTCTGTGGCCTGCGATCAAGTCGAGCCACTCTGTTTGCCCAGCTTCCCTTTTGAAGCTGACTGCGCAGATTTCTCTTGAAACTCACTCGCCGATGCTGTTCTCATCCTTGGATTGAAGCACTTTCAGATAGGACTGGGTTGGAGTTACTGCTGTGCCTCATCGACAGTTCAGCGCAACGCATCCTTGCGCATTCCTCCTCAAAATGATGACCTCCAATTCTCACTTGATTCTCACGTTGCACTTTTAACGCTCACTAATTTTCTTCGCTGCCGATAACAGATTTGAGCTCACAGTTGGAACTTAACGGATATAATTCAATCCCAAAGTATTGGAATGGTGAGGCCGCTTCCTTTGCTTTTGTCATCGACTGTAGACAGTTGGTTTTCAAAAGCTGAGCGTGAGACACCAGATCAGCATGTTCAGCTATCTTTACGTTTGGAACTGACGCACAAGTTGGCAGATGGCAGCAAACACAGTTTTCATTTTGAAGACCGGGTTGGATGAATAAAACATGTTTTGGGTGACAGTTTGAGGTGTAACCAACTTGAAAACCACAGTGTGGTGACGTCAGTGACAATCTGCAGAAGGCAGGAAAGATGCTATCGCCATCTCCCCGTTTTCAGCAATTGAACTAAACAAACAAAGGAGTTGATCAGAGCCGAGAAATGGAAGGTTATGCACTTGCCAGGTCCATTTCCAGACTTAAACCCAGTCGAGCATGCATGTTTTTTTTTTTTTTTTTGCAGAGGCGAGGGGGACCAAAGAGGAGAGTGAGGGAAGTAAAATTTCTTCCAATACTTTTGCTCACATCAAGATGTGGTCTTTAATTTGATGAATAAAAGGATTAGAAGATAAGAAACTGGATCCCAAAAGCAGATACAAATCCGCGAATGAAAGATGAAAAGATGACGGGTTTGTTTCACCTTTGAAATATGAGCCCTCGGTTCAGCATCTTTGAAGGGTCAGTCAATTATTCGTATGAAGGATTTCCCTCAAATCTAAATAGTAAAGAGTATGTGCGGCTTATTATTACGAGGCATTCGGGTTGTGTCCTGCAGACTGTGGGTTCTGGATCGTCGTATGCCACACACCATAAACTAATTTTAGGGTGCTGTTCTGAGTTGGAGAGTGTCAACGTTGGTTCTTTACCTTAGCATGCATATTGAAGCAATGTGTGTGCTGTTTTCACTGCTGGTGAAAAAGAAATACCTCTGTTTATGTAATCCCGCCTACTATAAAGCGAGACCCCGCGAGAGCAGCCAATGACTCAGCGCTTCTTTCTATTTTAAGGCCCGATAGTGTCTGAATTCCCTCTCCGCATGAGCAAATCAGAACAAAATGTGGTTTTCATACTACTATTTAAAAGTAATGAATACATTCTTGTCGTCCAAGCCTGATGTTCGTACCGAGTTATGAAATGCTGACGGAGCACTGACTTTTCGAAATATTGTTGCGGCATTTTCAGCCGTTCTCTGTTCATACTTATTGTATTTTAGAATCAGACAGCAGTGAGGACGAAGGGGAAGACCAATTTGACACCAATGAAAATAGTTTGGAGAGTGAGGACCGCGCAGTGCACCCAGGTATTCATCCGCCCTGTCTTCATTTATACGTTCTCTGAAAACTTGCATGACACACAGATGAGAGGTCCTCAAATCCAATCGTTTGCATTTTTTGAAACGCAGTGATGGACAAGCGTGCAGATGATGAAACCAGAGCATGCGAAGATTTCACAAAAGCAAGGCAAGACTGCTCTTTGCACTTGAAGTTCGTTTTTCAGAGATATTAAATTATTTGAACAGTGATCCAAAATCCGCTGGACTCTTGTCTTTTAGGAGCCAGTCAAATGATTCTCCAAGAGGTTCTCCACCAGAAGTTCTCCCGCCCCCGTCCCCAAGACTCGTCAAACGTGCCTCCACCTCTCCAATGCCAAGTCGCTCCGGTTCGACAACACCTCTCAGCTTGCGGAAAAAACTTGCTGCACCAGCAGAATACCAAGACACGGTGCCCGCTGAATTTGAAGAAAAGGTTAAAATGCCCAAATCTCCAAATAACACCCAAGATTCACGACCACAAACTCCAGTGAGCGAGTACTCCCGGAAAGAGTTGACTCAGAGACCATCGCCGAAGCTTACCAGAGCAAGTTCCAAAGTTTTTGAGAAGGTCCGTGACTTGGAAGAGAGAAGGCGAAGCCTGGACTTCCCCGAAGGTTCCGTATCAGGGAGATCCTGGGCAGGGTTCAATCGAGCGGGCTCCGTCGACTCGGATGACGGCGGTAGCCGTCTGGGTATTTCACGAGAAAGTTCCAGGGAAGATCTGAGAGAGGCTCTCAAAGAAGACGCGGCCGAGCGCAGATCAATGTTCAAACAGAGGGCTGCCTCGCTCGAGGAGAAACCTCGCTATTCTCAAAAGGTACAGGACATAGAGAACAAGTTCACGCAGGAGCTGCAACGTATCAAAAAGCTTGTCGGTAAACCCCATTTGAAGAAATCCTTTTCAACAGAACAGCTCACCTCAAAGGCGAGGCAGCGCCAGCCTTTCAGGAAAATCGAACCTATTCCCCCGCAGGTCCTTCAAAGGCTCCAAGAGAGGGAACGATGTCAGTGGACAAAAGCGCCAAAAGGACTCCATCCGGGACAGCAAACGCCAGAGCAGCGGCATTCCCAAGTTCAAAACAGCACAAGCGCCGGCATCACAAGAGTAAAAGAGGCCACAGAGTCAATGCAGTTATCGGACTTGCCGGGAGTACGATCACTTCGAGACTTGAGTCGAGTCAGCCCAGTTACTGAAATAATTCAGAGGTCATCATCGCCGGCCTTATTCCAGCAACAAACGGGAGACTCACAGAGTTTGACGAATCTGGAAACGACTGCACAGAAACTTGAAATGAGGCCCCCAAGTCCACTGGTACAAAGGATTTCAAGGAGCCAAGAATCTCCGCGTAGCCCTGAACTTCCAATGCCAACGCAAGGTCACGATACGGCAGGGAGAACGACGCCGATAGAAGTAACGTTGAGAAAAGTTGAAAACAGGCCTGATAGTCCACTCGTAAAAAAATGTGCTGTCACTGCTCAAGATACAAGTCATCAAACAGCCCCAACACCCACGGGAAGGGTGCAAGCCGATCCACCGAAGGAAAAAACCGAGGTGACTCTCCCAAAAGAAGCTCCAACTAGAAGCATCCCTAAAATTGTTGTGGAAGGTGAAGATGTTCCCAAGGAGACAAATGAACCCCGACAGGCCAAAGGACAACAGCCGAAGACCAAAGTCAAACATCGTCGTCAACGAGCAACGTTTCCTGAAATGGGTTGGACATGTTTTCAACATTTTGCAGTCTGCATGTTGCCATAGAAGTCGCACTCCAACTTTTGTTTACCTTCCGTGATACTGCAGATTCCTCAGATGATTCCTACATGTCTGCCGAAGAGGACCCGATGGAAGCACCCGTCTTTGACTTTCCTCTTCAAGATACGGTCGCCAAATGTGGTTCGGATGTGCTACTCAAATGTAACATCTCCGGCACGCCCATTCCTGAAGGTATCAAATGAAAAGCTGTCCTTGAAGAAGACAAATTAATTCAGTTCCCAGTTCGCAGACATTCTTTGGTCATCAAAATTCAGAGGGGCTCACTTCGAGACACATTTTCAGGATAAAAGATTTGTTTTGTTTTCATGCTCGATTTGGTGAGCAGGCGGCGCATACATACAAATTAAAAGATTATTTCCATAGTTTTTCCTCTTTGAGGAATGCACACGAAGCAATCTAACATGCTGAATAATGCCTGATGCAATTGTGTTGAAGTCACATGGACAAAAGACAGCGTGGAGGTCACCAGCCTTTCAAATTACGCCGTCAAAGTGGAAGGCGAACGACACAGTCTACTCATAAAATCGGCGCAGATGGGCGACGGTGGAAACTACGGCGTCACGGCTGTGAACCAGGAGGGCAAAGTGACCAGCAATGCTACACTCACAATCAAAGCAGGTGTGTGCTATTTAAACCTCGAGCGCCGTCAGCTGTCGTCAGGTCTTGAGGGCCATCAAAGCTTCTTTAATCAGACATCATTTTTGGATAATGACTGCGCATTAAGAAATGCTCTCCTCAACGAGATAACGAGACAGTGGTGATGCGCAAATACGTTTCGTCTGCCATCCGCTGCCGCTCCCGCTCGCTGCCTTCCTTCAGCCAGTTGTATGTGCAACGTATTCCAGCTCAACAACCGCACTTATAGTTACCATAGCAACAAAGAGCAAAACTGAACCTATAAATTGCTCACTGGGGCTCAGTCGCTTGTCTCTGTGGATATCTGTTATTGTTTGGATTTGACGTTTCACAATCGCGTTCATGTCAAGGGGTTCTAAAAACAATCAGAATGTGTTCATTATCCATCCACAAGAAAATACATCAAAGGTTTTACCCCTCATCAGATTTCACGAATGTGCAATTTGGCAGAACCCATTCAGGAACCGAAGAGTGTCTTGGGTCTTCCGATGGACATTAGCAGCCCCATCACATCGGACGAGGAGTACCTCAGTCCCTTGGAGGAAGCCATGGATTTTAGTTCGCAACAGCCGAGGGGGACTCTCGAGACCAAGTTCAAGAAAGCTCCTGCATTTCTGGTGAGAGCGGACCGCCGACCTCAGCGTTTGACATTTTGGAGTGCTGCGTGTACAGCGTTGATCACATGCACGGGAATTTGCCAAGTGTGTCTGTTGCCATGCATTGTGATTCCACAGCGACATTTGGTTGCAAATCTCAACTGCATTCCGAGTTGTGTTTTGGTCTGTTTTAAACAGGAAACAATGACTGATCAAGCCGTTGTTGAAGGACAGGAAGTCACCATGTTGGTCCGCATAAGTGGTCAACCAAAACCTTTGCTGTATTGGTACGTGTTGCCAATCACTGACACGGTAGTTGCAGAATTGAAGTTGATGATTGCTTTATGTCATTTCTATTTTATTCCTGCAGGTTGAGAGACAGAGTTACGGTCAAAAGTGGCCCACGCCATACTGTCCGGGAGACAGAGAATGGCACTTTTCAAATGACCATCCATTCGGCCCTAAAGTCAGACTCGGGGATTTACACCTGCAAGATCATCAATGAGTTTGGAACCAAACAGTGTGAAGGGACCCTAGACGTCAAAGGTAATAATACAAAAAAAAAAAAATACATCAGAGCCACTCACCGCTCCGATCCTCTTCTGTCCTGTCCTCCTGTATTTGCTACTTGTAACGTTGCTTTCTCACACAGTGTAGAACTGTGTTTCCAGATTGGCAAACGCATTTCGGCATTGCTTCTGTCCTGTCCTGTGTCCATCCTATTTGCTTTTGAGTCAAATCCTGATTTTCTCGAGTGGCACTGCATAGCCACTCGTACACACTCGTGGCTCACTGCTCTTGTCCTGTCCCTAATTGCTACTCACCGCATCTCGAGCCCACAAGGTTCCAGATTGTCTCAAAACTACTGTCTGGCATACGTTTCCTCTCCTGTCCTGCCCTGTCCTATTTGACGAGTCGCTCCCTCACGGGGTAGAGCACTGCCTTCCGAGTCCAGAAGACACTTTTTGTTGTTGTTGTTGCTTTGTTCAATGTTGTCTTGTTCTTTCTTTAAAAGATTGAAAGAATCTGCTTTTGTTTTAAATCCTATCTCTGCTTAGTACTACCCGTCGAGCCGAGCTTGGCCGTCATCCGCCCAGTGAAAGACATCACAGCCAACGCGGGCGAAACGGTGCTGTTTGAGTGCCACGTCATCGGGCCGCAAGACACAGACGTGGACTGGCTGGCCAATGGGAAACTGATCCAACCTGCATTGCTCAACTGCAAAATGCACTATGACGGAAGGAAATGTCGCCTGCTGCTTAATTCGGTGCACGAGGATGATAGCGGGACGTACACTTGCAAGCTGAGCACAGCTAAAGGTATGTGTATGAAAGGAGACACTCCGGTTTCCTTCCACATTCCAAAAACATGCAGGGCAGGTTGATTGGACACTCCAAATTGTCCCGAAGCGGGATTGTGAGCGCAAATGTTGTTTGTGGATGTGTGCCCTGCGATGGGCTGGCAACCAGTTGATTGTGTACCTCGCCTACCGCCCGAAGACAGCTCGGATAGGTTCCGGCACACCCCGCGACCCTCGTGAGAAGCGGATGGATGGGTGGATGGATGGATATTGAGTTACAATTGCTCTTTTATTTCTCTATTTCAGAGGAAATTACTTCATGTGGGAAACTAAGAGTGATTCCCTCAATTGAGCCGCTCTTTACTCGCCAACTGGATGTTCTGGAAGTCATCGAGGGCCGCAATGCTCGATTTGACTGCAAAGTCAGCGGGACCCCACCCCCAAAAGTCATCTGGACTCACTTTGGTAAAGTTTACCCCAAAATGTCTTCAAACATTCCATGGGTCTCGCTGTCTGTTCTTCGAATTTCAGATTGAAGAAGGCTGATGTATAGTTGACAGTGTTTCCCAACCGAGGCACATATTTTACAGGCTATTCGAAAAATCGTCCATCACCGATGGCGCAAAAAGTATTTTTGTATCTATCCAGAGAGAAAGATTTTCTCAGTTTGCTCACAAATCGACTTTGTGATTGTTAAATCTGGACCACACATCACTGGCATGCTGTGGCTAGAGCCCCGATGATCGGTCGCGGCACAGCAATGCCGTACAGTGTTTGGCAATCAGTGGTAGAACAAAACGCCCTTTCTCAGCAGATCACCCGCTCGCCGAGAGCGAGGATGTGCGTATTCTTCAGGAGAACGGCCGTCACTCCCTCATCATCTCTCACGTGACCAATGACGATGAGGGTTTCTACACTGTGACGGCCACGAACAGTCACGGAGAGGCCGAATGTTCTGCTGAGCTCTACATTCAAGAGCCACGGCCGGCCATCTCCTCGCAGATGTACGATCACGCATCAAAACATTTCTTGGATGTTGTGGCGTCAGCTTCCCTTCAGGACTTGGGTATGACATTTCGTCTTCACGCAGGGCGAAACTGGAGAAGATGCCATCCATACCGGAGGAGCCCGAGGTCCCTGAGAATGAAGTTGAGCGTTTCACAATGCCCGACTTCATCAAGCCCCTTTATGATCTGGACGTCATTGAGGGGAAGGAGGCTGTTCTCAAATGTAAAGTGGCCGGATTGCCGTATCCCACCATCGCCTGGTTCCACAACGGCAAAAGAATCGAAAGCACGGAGGACAGAAAGATGACACAGTGTAATCGTTTCGCCCCAAAAACCCGCGACGTATTCGGCCCAATGTCAGCGTCATACCCTCTCATCCTCGCTTTGCCTTGTCAATTCCTTTCAGTTCGCGATGTCCACAGTCTGGTCATCCGCTCAGTGTGCCACGCGCACGGTGGCGTCTACAAGAGCGTCATCTCCAACAAAATAGGAAAGGCCACTTGCTACGCTCATCTCTATGTCACGGGTAATTCTCCTTTTGAATCATTTTCACAAACATGCCTTCAATCAGTCACTTTTTCAACATTCGATATAGCTTTTTTAGCAGATATAGCTTTATGGACCCCATTTTTGAATGCTTTCACTTTTTCAACATTCGATATAGCTTTTTTTTTTACCAGATATAGCTTTATGGACCCCATTTTTGAATGCTTTTCAGATATCCTCCCTGATCCTCCTGACGGGACACCAGTGATCGAATCGATCACTGGTAAAGTGATCACCCTTAGCTGGAAGAAGCCAAGGAGATTGGACCCTTCAATTGGTACCAAAAAAAAAAAAAACATTTTGTCACATAGAAAGGACATCACACTCCCGATGAGGTGTCTTTATGCTGCCATTATCGTCCACATTTGATTTGTTCTTTGCACGCAGAGTCAAAGTCCTTGATGTACGCCATCCAGCAACAAGCCCTCGGCTCCATTCAGTGGACAATTATTGCATCTAGCCTGAAGGAGACCACTTACGCCATCAGCACACTGTCCAAAGGTGTGCGCTATTCTTTCAGGGTTTTGAGCATCACCTCCAAGGCCTTCAGCAAGCCCTCAGCCGCCACAGACCCAGTGCAACTGCTGGACCGAGGTACAGCTTTCCTCACTTGTTGTGACTGGTGCTTTGACTCAGTACCCTGTGCTTTGGGTTCAAGGTCCCTATCTTCAAGAAGCTCCCGTGATTATTGATAAACCGGAAATTGTACATGTGATGGAAAACCAGTCTGTAACCATCACCATCACCATCAATCATGTCAATGCTGCCATCATCTGGAAAAGGTATCGTCACTAGTTGTTTTTCCCAAGATGATATGTCAAATATTTTATTTCGTCCTAAATGAGATATCGATGTTGGTGGGGTTGAACGGAGCAAGAGACTTCTCTTTGCTGAAGCTGAACCCAGAGTGTGGAAAAAAAAAACCATGGCTATGGGTACCTCCGACTCTGTTTTACATTGCAAAATAAGCATTTCAGGTTCATTGAAGAGTCGAAACTGTCCACTGGTGTGAATGTGCACTACCGAAAATGGATGCATATAGAGTTGCTCCCCTTAAAATGTCTGTGTAGCTTTTCAATTTCCAGTCACTGTACCTAGGGTACAACACAGATTATGATGTAAACTATATCGACAGGAGGGGAGCGGTCTTGGACAACAAGCGGGGCGTGTACGAAATGGCAATGCCAGATGATGATCAGCACACTCTGACGCTAACGAAAATGAAGCACGCCGACGTTGGAGAATTTATGTTTGTGGCATCCAACAAGCATGGAAGTGACAGCTGCACATTCAGCGTGGAGATGGCAGGTGGGCCGCACCTTCCTCACCTCTCTTGCTCATGGAGACATCTTGGTAGTCTTGATTAGATTTCACATCAAGCAAGTAGAGATGGGACCAAAAAACAGATCTTGAGCTGACAGCAGCTCATACCTGTTTGTATCGGAACTTTGGGTTTGGTGAGTTTTGGCTTATTTCATAAGTCCACTGCCCCTCTCCCAAGGTCCTCTAGGATAGGTCAGAGCTCCCCCGGGACCCTAAAGTCGAAACGCGCCCACGATTTTTTCCAACTTGCTGAAGGTCTACACTGTACCAAGAGCCTCGTAGTATTTTCCTAATGTCACTCTGTCCACAGCTCCCCCAACATTTGAGACGATAATGGAGGATATTGACGTTTGCTCTGGGGAGTCCCCTCGCTTTGCTGTGGTTGTGGAAGGCCGGCCCATTCCGGACATCCTCTGGTTCAAGGTTTGTAGCGTTCAGTCTTCAGTCCGAGATGAAGACCGGCCGATCTGAAACAGAAGTGGTCAAAGTCATGTCATTTGCTGCGCTTGTTTCAGAGCGATATTTTGCTGTCGGAGGGCAGCCATTTCACATTTGTGTACGATGACAACGAATGTTCACTGGTGGTCCTCAACGCTTGCCCTGAGGATTCAGGAGTGTACACCTGCACCGCCAGAAACTTGGCAGGCTCCGTGTCCTGTAAAGCCGAACTCACCGTTCATGAAGGTGACCTACTTGTGCTCACGTTCATTTGGTCAATCCCTGCAATGATCCACACTCATTGAGCCAATAATCTCACGCAGCTTTAAGTAAAGAGGAGCCGATGGAAGACGAGGCGAGCATTTTGAGGAAAATGCGGCGACTGACCGACCATTATGACATCCACAAGGAAATTAGAAGGTAAGGCATCATCTAAAAGCGTACATCACATATCTGCAATTGGCTGGCAACCAGTTCCGGTTGTGCTCCGCCGACTGCCCGATGACAGTTGGGATCGGCTCCAGCATGCCCGCGACCCTCGTGAGGAGAAGTGGATCAGATGACGCATGGATGCATGGATAAATCACATATGGGCAAGTCATAAATCGGTCTTAAATTTGGCACTGTCGTCCTTTGGCACCGAAAAGGCCTTTAATCTTAAAGTGTCAAGTCACTGTGGCCCAAATCCAGCAAGTCCAGTCATTATGTTGGTTCAGCAAGTCATAAATTTAGGCGCACGACAGTCTTGCTTCGTCACAACACGTATTTGGGCTTAGGCTACTTTGCAGATACTGTCATGAGTGAGTGGTACTTCTTCACAATGACCTTATTTAATGGTCCCCAATCTTCCATTGCGCTGTCTCTTCAGTTTCTTCTCGATTTAATGCGTAGCTGACATGAAGCTTGTTTTTGAACTCTTAACGTTGCATGTTTACAACTCACTTCTCATTTCCTCGATTTGATCAAAAACGTAATCTGCCAATCGAAACTTCGTAATGTAGTCAAATTGACGCTCTCATAAATTTTATCCAAGAAAGTCCCAACTCCTAACATTGGCGACTTAAGTTTATACTCAAGTCAGGCCCTGTGACTTGAGTCCTCCACCACTGATACAATCTCAGCCCGGTGGAGCCAAATTGGAGCCAGCCGATTAATGGATAGTGATTTACATTTTGGCATCTTCATGCTTCCGCTGACTTTACTTCACAATAGGAGTCAATGCTGAAACATTGTTGTACCCCCCACGACCCCCCACACATTCCCCAGAGGTGCATTTTCCTACGTGAAGCACGTGACCCAGAAAGTAGACAAAATGGAATACGCCGCCAAGTTCATCTCCACACGAGCCAAGAGGAAGACCTCTGCTCTGCGAGAGATGAGTCTCCTCTCCAAGTTGGACCACGAGCGAATTGTCTTCTTGCACGATGCCTTTGAGAAAAAGAACACAGTCGTCATCATCACTGAACTGTATCCATATCATGCTACCTTTTATGTCCTTCAACGGTTGAGGGCATGCTGCCAGATGAAACGCTGATGTTTGCGTTTTGACATTGCTGTTGCCAAATGCATCTAAACTCTCAGATTATTGACCTGAATCCCATGTAAAGATGCCACGAGGAGATTCTTGACCGATTCACACGGAAATCGACGCTCACGGAGTCTGATGTAAGCTTCCGGTAATGTTTCATGACCATACAGTGAGTAATATTGAAGAAATTACAGCTGGCGTCCTCGTTGTACCCTAGGTACGTTCGTGTATTAGACAGTTGCTCGATGGAATGGATTATCTTCACCATCTTAACATCATGCACCTGGATATCAAGGTAAGCATTTCTGCAAGTCCTGCCAGATTTGAATCATATTCTTTTGGCTGTTGTTTGTATTTTAAGCCTATCCGATGTCACATGCTCACTTGTAATATGACGGAAATGATTTGCTGAAGGCAGCATGATGGATGACTGGTTAGCACATCCAACTCATAGTGCAAGAGACGCAGGGTTCAATTCCGGGTGTCTCCCGCCTACTGCCCGATGACAGCTGGGATGGGCTCCGGCACGCCCGCGACCCTCTTGAGGAGAGGCCGATTATCAAATGAATGGATGGATGGATGATATGCTGAAGACAAAAGTGTTTATTATACTTATCTAAGATCTTAAAATATCCTGAGGACTATTGAAATGGTCGCCGTTACATTTGCAATGGGCGTTTGTGTATTCAGGGACAGCGCAGTAAAGTTTCTGTTTTTAAAAGACTCTATTTTTTTCCTTTCTTTTTTTGAGCCTGACAACATCCTCATGGCAGACGCACACAGTGATCAACTCCGAATCTGTGACTTCGGCAATGCGGTGGAGGTCACGCCGGATGAGGCTCAGTATTGCAAATATGGCACACCAGAATTTGTTGCGCCAGAAATTGTCAACCAGACCCCGGTATCAAAGGCAACTGATATCTGGTATCTTCATTCGCTATCTGGAGTGTGTTTCAATTGTCCGCAAACACTTCAGGCTGACACTTGTCTTGCCTTTCCCTAGGTCAGTTGGAGTTATTGCATACCTGTGGTGAGTTATGTGACTTTTTGATTTGATTTGAAGAACGATCCCGTTCCGAAATCTAAATGTGGCTGTTATCAGTCTGACAGGAGTGTCTCCATTTGCTGGTGAAAATGACCGCAGTTCCGTGCTGAACATCAGGAACTACAATGTGGCCTTCGAGGAAAGCATGTTTGCCAATCTTTCTCGAGAAGCTAAAGGTTTCATCATTAAACTGCTCGTAGCAGAGAGACTGTGAGGAACCACATTTTCAAATCCTCATGTATCATCGTCTTTGCAAAGATGCGCGCGTTAAAATGTATATTTGATGTACTTTTGCTTTTAGGCGACCAGATACTCAAGAATGTCTCAGAAATCCCTGGTTCAAGGTACACACAAATGTCTTTAAACCTTTATTCATCGAGTGCAACATTATTCAGCTTTGATTAACTTTGAAATGGCCTTAAGAAAATTGACTTTTTTTGTACAGACTCTCAGTAAGGGGTCAGTTATAAATACAGACTCACTGAAGAAGTTCCTATCTCGCAGAAAATGGCAGGTAATGAAGCATTTCCTTTCATGTCCAAGTCCGGCATATATGAAGAAACTGTAACATCTTGTTTGTTTGTTCTCTAGCGTTCAATAATCAGCTACAAATCTAAAATGGTCATGAGGTCCATTCCCGAGTTGCTGGATGATTCCTCAAGTCATATCTCCATCGCAGTTCCCAGACACCTTAAGGATGCTTCGCCTTTGCCTTCCTCATCCTCCGATTCAGATGAAGACATCGATGAACTTCCTTTTATTCCAATGCCGCTCAACATGGAATTCTCTGGTTCAAGGGTGTCACTGAATGACATCCAGACTAGTGAGAAAGACTCGGTGAAACAGAACGGAACGTGTAAGCAGTTCACATCTGCTCTTCAAGACACAGCGGAACACAATGCAGTTGAAATGAACAAAGAAAAGCTTCAATTGACGGGTAAAAGTCGGCAAAACGAAAGAACAATGAAAGGTGATGACAAGGGTTCCTCAGATGAAGAATTACCTGCTGGGCTGCCAGAGAAAGTTCTAAAGAGAAAACCTCTGCAAAGGGGGTCCAGCATGGAGTCTGACAAACCTGAGACCGTGAGACGAAAAGGGGAGCTGAGACGTGGAGGATCAGCTGACAGTGCTTTGCTACTTCGGATCAGGCCAGAAGAAGTACTCTCAGAAGGAAATCAAGAGGGCGGAAGAAAAGTTCTCAAGAAAGCCGCCTCGATGGAACTACCAAGGCGGAGCACCAGTCCGGGGACTGCAACGATGAGCCAAGAAGATTACGCTCTGAAGCTAGAACTGATGAGGCAACGATTGCTTCGTGGAGGATCCCTGGACAAAAAGATGAGTGGACTGCGAGGGCCTCTATTAGAAACATTAGGAATGGGTGATGACAAAGGTGCAATCTCCTCAGATCGCCATTCTCGCACTACCCGACTGGCACCCCCTTCGCTGACGAGAGCGGCGTCGAGTGACTCACCCAGGGATGACATTTCCAAACCCAAAGTCCTGAGCAAAAGTGCTTCCTTCAGTCAAGGAGATTCCGAACCAATAGCCTCACACAGAAGGTCAGGAGCCCCCCTTGAAATTCCTTTGGTACAGGTGGAAGAGCGACGACTCAAGGAAGCTATATCCATGTCAGCTCTCACTGAGCAAACCAAGCTCGACTCCTGCCCAGCGACTCCTCGAGAGCCTTCACCAAAACTGCCGACACCAGATATTATCCAATGGGACAGTCCCATTAAAACGCAAAGTCAGGAATCATCAAAGGAGAAAGAGACGACATCGAATGAAACTACCAGTGGAAAGAAAGAAGCGGTGGTTACAGACAATCATTTTGATGAGAAGTCAAGCACAAGCGGCTTCACTGAGAAGGACTTGAGCATATCACAGGAAGTACTGAATAAATCAGAGGTTGTGGCCCACGTTATTTCTTCACCAGCTGCCGCAGTCCAAAGCTCTGAAATTGAGGGTCATTTGGAGAAAGATGTAGGGACAAAAGAACAAAAAGAAAAAAAACTGATAGTGAAAGAAAATGACGAAGGTCCGGAAGCTGTGAATGAAGAAAATGCATCTGAAGAAACGTTACAAGAGAAAGAAATAACACCTGGTAAATCATCCGACATTATGACTTCAAACTCAGTTACCACAAGAGAGGTTCCGTCTTATTCAACATCGTCTGCCCCTGCACAGGTTCTTCTTCCTGATGGAAGGACTTCAGCATATGCTAGCATTATGCAGACAATCATGGTCCCTTCCCTTCAACCTTTCAATGATACACCGCTCGGCCCGTCTACCCCTGTTGATGTCCTCGATTCCGCATCAGCCCCTACAGCATCTGATGAATTTGTAACTGCGTCATCACCTTCAACGCCACGCATTGTGTCAACTACCGAGCACCCGGCCGTGTACTCTCGCGTGGCCTCACCCGAAACCATAGCAAAGGAGCCTAGTCCGCCAAAGATGACCACCCATTCCTCTCCTCCATTTGTAGGAGTGCACCTAGAAGACATTTCCTCTCAAGAGGTGTTTGAGGCCCGCTTCAAAAAACGTGACTCTTCCCTCACAAGAACTTTGAAATTTTTATCCCGATCAAAGAATGAGGATAAATCACCTGTAACGTTTTCAGATTCAACTGAGTCAGGTGAGGTGGTGTACAGGCCCGGTCCGATGGGTGCCCCACTGGAATTGGCACAGAGAAAACTTGAGAAGTCCAAATCGGTTCAGGATCTTCGTGAAGCTCAAAAGGACCAAGGTTTTATGAGGAGGCTTTCCCTGCGGTTGAAAAGAAGTCCTTCAATGGAACACAAAGAGGAAGTGACCAAAGAAGATGATTCAGGGTCATTAAGACGTAGGTTGTCTTGGAAACTCGGAAGAAGAGGATCACAAGATCAGAAGGAAGTGGAGATGATGCGCATGGATGGTGGAGCTGATGTCACCGTTAAAAAAGAGGAGAAGGAGCCTAAAATGTGCAATGAATCTCCAGTCTTGACGATGCGGAGGAAGATCGAATCAACAGTGGCCGGTCTCTCGACCAGAATTCGCAGCTACTCTGAAGAAAGAAAAGCGGCGGAAGAGAAGGAGCCAAAGAAGACGCCAATCCTGTCCATGCTTCGTCGTGCAACATCAGAAAACCGTGGAATAAAAGTTACCAATGTTCCTCAGAACCAGCTGGCATCTCAGGCCAGTAATGGAGCTTCATCTGAGTCACTGGACTCAATGTCCAGCTCAAAGTCTGACACGTCAAAGGGTATGATGCAATGTCATCTTCATTATGAAGCAAAGGGGGTTCTCGGTCGATGACAGTCCTGAATTTTGACGCTTCAACACCGTTATGCTGTTGTGACCGAGAACGCCTTGTGTCAATTCTTGTTCGTGGGCGGTAACATAAACTTTATGGTTCTTGGATAGTTCTCGAAGGTGAGCGAAGATCTCGTTGGGATCGATGGGGTCTGTCCCGAGGGAGACGATCCAAGGCCGGATCACAACCAGATCTACCCACGGCCATCGCCAGGGAGACGAGTTCCCAGCCATCGCGCCAGTACTCCAGACTGGTATCCGGTAGGTCCAGAATGACATTATGCTTCACTTTTACCACACATACGCGCTTATCCATTCGGACTGTATATGTTCAATCCATGTCTCGCAGATTTTCCTCCGGTGTTCCATATTAAGCTAAGAGATCACGTCCTGCTTGAAGGGGATCCAGTGACACTCAGCTGCCTGCCTGCAGGAAGCCCTCAGCCTCACATCACCTGGATGAAAGGTGTGACCCAACTATGAATGCTCTCTTGTCACAAGATGGGACGGAATAGAAACCATAAATCTACAATATGCAGTTTCTGCCTGCAATGACTTCTAGACATTGATGATTTATTTTTCTTCAGATAAGAAACCCTTGGACATAGACGCGAGGATGAACATGATAGCCTGCCCTGACGGCAGGCAGCTTCTGATGGTTATGCAGACCACCAAAAAGGATGCAGGGGTTTACGAATGTGTCGCGACAAGCCCCCTGGCTTCTGCTTCCAGTTCTTGCACAATTTCCCTTGCCCGTAAGAATATTTGTGTGCGTTGTAGCAAGTTGTTAGGATTACAAAATGAATAGTTGAAAGTTTGGTGCATAGTTTGGTTCAGGTTTGGAGGGGAGTTGGATTCACATTATTTATGTGAAAAGGTCTGCCCAATCGCCCCGGAACACCCGAGATCCCTCAGAAGTACAACAACACCGCTTTGGTGCTGTGGAGACCGTCCGACACGACTGCACCTTGCACATATTCTCTGGAGAGGAAAACTGAAGGTTAGTATGAAAGGGGTTCTCGTGAGCTTGTCTCAGCTTCTGTTTCTCAACAACCCTTTTAAAAGAACCATGAATGAATAAGCTACATTGGGTATCTTTTGCTAAGTAATAAAGAATCATGACTTCTAAATTGGTTATACGTGTCCGTGCGTACGGTAAATATGAACATGTGAAACAGGAAGTAAAACCAAGAAAGATATTGTTCAAACATTATCACGCAAAAAACGACCTGACATTAACAGCTCCAAGATGCAAGGCTCTGCTATGTCAAATGAATCAAAAGTAGCATGACCCACGGCCAAAAAGTAGTGACAAAGTATGTGTACAGTATTCAAATAATTTGCATCAAACCCCATCACAGTGTTAGTAATTTAGCGTGCAGTGCTGAATATTTCAGTCTTCATTCTTACCGCGAGTGCGTAATATAAAATGCATCTTTCTTTTGTCCCTCAGGAGAGAGCAACTGGTTGATTGTGGCCACAGGGGTGGCCGACTGTTACTACAACGTGGTTGATTTACCAGCGGGAGGCTCTTTCAGATTTAGGGTGGCTTGTGTCAACAAGGCCGGCCAAGGCCCATACAGCAGCCTCTCGGAAGTTGTGCGACTGGGGCCTGCAGGTACATGCAAAACATATTCATTTTAATAGAATTCAAATAGTCGTCTCTGAGACATTGTGGTTAAAATGACGGAATTGGAGGAAAATATCGCCTTTGTGTGGTCTGCAATGAAATACACTGAAAAAAGTGCTGACATTGTAGCACGCAGTCAAGCCTCATCTCGTCTCGTCTCCATCTGGATGTCGGGAAGAAGCACATTTTAGCCAGGGCTGTTCGTGGAAGTAAAGGAGAGTTATTGCCGCATGTGTACTTCTGGTGCATTTATTTTTTCCAAAATAAATTCATCTTTGTGCCATTTTCGTTCAGGGTTTCGTTGTAAGATGGGTTTGAAATTGCATTTAAGTGCCTTGGGATCAGAGTTACCGTTAATGGACAGCAATATTTGCTCAATTATTGTTAAGGCAATTATAAAACTTTAAGGGTTGACATTCACTGACTGTATTTGTGGTTTTATGTTACAGCAATGGTGTACTGCACTCCTCCAGTTGTTTCCCATTAATGTCACGAATCCAGTTACGGCTTTCATTACGCTGTTGACCCATTATCGGAGTTAGGCCTTTGCGACAAAGCGAGCGTCAACTTGTTTTATAACACCCCAGTTTTTTACATCTCTCCTACTTCTTAGAACCTGTTGAATCCAGTGCCCCAGTGGTGGTCAAGACCAGCCCGGCGCAAGGTCCATCAACCCCTGTGCTGATGATGTCATCCATGAAATTCCCACCCATGAAACTGGCTCTAAGTAAAGCCCCAACGCAGACACGGGCCCCGACGCAGACACCCACCCCGACACAGACGCCCACTTTGACCCAAACGCCCACCACACCTGCATCTCTAAATTGTCCTGCACAGACGGCAAAATCGCCATCCCCAAAAACCATCCGGCCGACGGCGCTAGTTGAAGTGAAGCGGACGCCACCCGTGAGTACGGCCCCTTCTGGACCAGCGCCGGCTCAGACCAACACAACGGTGCAAACTACAGCAGGCAAAGCAAAGTCCACTCTCAGCATCAGTGTGGGCAAACCTCAAGCCAAGACGACAGCTCCGCCTGTCGCCCCACCCAAACCCCAGACCCCCATAAAGGTGATTAATACCAAGGCTCCCTCTCCTGTAGCTCCACCGGCCCCTGTCATCGGGAAGCCCATCTCCTCGGTGCCGATGTATGCACCGTCTGCCAGTGCTCGTGTTATGCCATCACCTCAATCCGCCATCACACCAACAGTCACCACGTCCTCCGTCTCTGCCGTTCAAGTCTCCGCGCCGGCGGTGGTGATACAAAGTTTGACGCCAGTGCTGCAGGGTGGGGACAGTCGCGGTACCCCGTCGGGGCGGATCACTCCATCAGGACGGATCACTCCGTCGGGACGGGCGACACCTTCTGGAAGACGTACACCTCTCGGCAAAGCTGGAGAGGGATATCTGCGCCAGGGCGTTCCTCAAAAACCTTATACCTTTATGGATGAGAAAGCCAGGTACAAACAAGTTCTATCCATCTATTTTCCATAATGTTTTACCCGTTGAGGGTTGCGGGGGAGCTGGAGCCTAGCTTTGGATGTGAGGCAGGGTACCACCATGCTGCCTATAAACAAGTTAAGACTTAAGTTTAAAGAAGATTGGTGGAAAATGACAACTCATTGCCCTGCTGTCATTCTTTGTGACACAGGGGTCGCTTCGGCGTGATCCGAGAGTGCCGGGAAAATGCCACGGGGAACCTGTTCATGGCCAAGATTGTCCCGTACGAGGCCGACACTAAGCAGGCGGTGCTGCAGGAGTACGACATCCTCAAGTCGCTTCATCACGGCCGCATCATGGCGCTGCACGAGGCTTACGTCACGCCTCGCTACCTGGTGCTTATCTCAGAGTACTGCAGCGGGAAAGAAATGCTCCGAAGCCTCGTAGACAGGTGACAACTGTAGAACTGTGCTCGACTCCGCAAACGACTAGTCATGATGGAGGACTTGTGATTATTAGGATTTGCCAGGATAAAGCGGCTGCGAGCGCTGCTGGTAGCTTTAAATCCTTTTCATAACTGTCATATGTGTTGCCTCTTGAGGTTCCGTTACTCGGAGGAGGACGTGGTGAGCTACATCGTGCAGATCCTCCAGGGCTTGGAATACCTCCACACCAGAAGGATTCTCCACCTGGACATCAAGCCCGAGAACGTCATGGTCACGCATATGAACGTCATCAAGATCATTGACTTCGGCAGCGCTCAGAACTTCAACCCGCTTTTCCTCAAGCAGTTCAGCCCACCTGTTGGAACGCTGGAGTGCATGTGTAAGACCGCCTCCGGCAGAGTATTCATCCGACTGAACCTAACCTGCTGATTCATTTTCAGATCAATTATGTGAAATTTGTTGTTACTCGTACTTTGTTCCAATTTTATTCAGTTAGCGTTGCTAGAGAAACACTTCCCAAGTATGATAAACTACATCGTCTCATTGCAAGTGAACTACACATGAGAATTCATTTTTATGTTAATGACCAAATCCTATTACCCCCCTGCCTCCCCATGTCCCTGCAGCTCCAGAGATGTTGAAAGGGGATGTGGTGGGCCCCCCAGCAGACATCTGGAGCGTGGGTGTGATCACTTTCATAATGTAAGTGTTGAATTCACACAGCTTCCAGCCAACACACTCTTTGAATATTGTCGCCTGCCTTTGTGTTCCATAAAGTCTGCTTAACCCTGTGAAACAAGCTCCTGCTGTGATGCTCCTTTCATTAGGCTTATCAGAATCCGAATCATTTTAAGTGACCAGTAGCAGTAATTGTAGTACAACATTGAGTGTGCAACTATACAGAAAGTCTTTGAGCACTTTAACGTGTCTGGTGCTGTGGAATATTGACAATTGTTCAAGTACGCCGTCGGATTTTGTCTGGACTTTTTTCAGGATAGAGTTCATGTTGTCCTCCCACTCCATTTCCTGAGAGACTGTGATTGCCAATCGGATTTTGTCAGGACTGTGGTGGAGGAACACAGGACTGATTCGATGACTGCTGTGTAGAACTGTCTCAGGAGCTCATGTGGCAGGCCGTGTTTCCTCAGCAGCCCCAGGAAGTACATCCTCTCATGTGCCTTTTTCCAGGATGGAGTTCATGTTGGCCTCCCACTCCATTTCCTGAGAGACTGTGATTGCCAGGAACTTGAAGGGTTATTCGCTAAACTCGTGATCACGCATGTCTGACAATGACATCATCAATGATCTCAGCACAAAGGAGAAACACCGTACTGTATGCAAGATCTAATGTGTATTTACCGCGGATCATAAACACATAACAATGTCGAACACACTGCAGCGCAGTCACGACCGTATCGGCCGCATGAAGTCATCTTTGATTGATTTGTTGAAATCAACGAGGTTCTTTGACATTGCGAAATCGAAAGATCTGTCGGCATTTGTGACTGGTGGCATCCTCTCAATTGTTCAGGTTGAGCGGCCGGTCGCCTTTCATGGAAAATGATCCCGAGCAGACCGAGATGAAGATCCACGCTGCAAAGTTTGATCTCGCCAAACTCTACCAAAACGTGTCCCAAAGTGCCTCGCTCTTCCTCAAAAAGATCCTCTGTAGCTATCCTTGGTAAGTTGAATTTCAAGCATCACTCGGCCTTGGACCGGTCATGGGCTGCACAAAGAGACGGAACAAAGCCTACATTACTAACCAGAAGAGTCTGAAAGAAGTTTTCGGGTGCGCCCGTCCGTGCCTCCAGATCAGCGAGGGGGGGGAAGGACAAATATGGCCAATATGCAATTCAACAAAATGCACGAGTATACAAATGAGTCAAAAAATTTGGATTGGAAACATTTCAACTGAGTTACCTGCTCTCATTTGCATGGCTAAGGCATTCCAGAGCACTGGAGCCCGAGGAGAAAACGCTCGAGAACCTGCGGACTTTTTTTTTGGGCTCTCGGAATCACTAAAAGACCACGAAGTGTTCGGGGCGGAACATCCGTGGTCACTGAGTCAGGTGCTAAGCCGTGTACTATTTTATAAGTAAGTAGCAAAACCTAAAAATCACATCCCAAATGGACCAGAAGCCATTGCAAGTTGATTGGTATCAGGGTCATGTGATCGAACTTCCTCGTCCTCGTCAGGAGTCAAGCTGCAGCGTTTTGTGTTAACTGAAAGCTTTTCACACTCGGCATGGGAAGAGCAGAGAGCAATACGTTGCAATAATCGAGGCGAGGCGTAAAAAAACGCATCGATGATGATTTCTGCGTCACCAGGAGATAAAGTGGGACGTTTCTTGAGCGATAAAACACTTGGGGTGTCATTGTCTCCCATTGATGGGACCAAGCACAGCGCCCCAACTCAAATCTTTGAACATAGTGTTTGTTCTTAGTGAGTAACGGCGAGTTTCATTTTGGACATTTTCTTTCCTGCCAAAGTTTTGCTTGACGCGCTTACGCCAAACCGGTTGGGGACCGCCGCGATCCAATTTTGCCCCATTTGGCTTCCTGAACAGGGCCCGTCCCTCGATCAAGGACTGCTTCAGTCATTCTTGGCTTCAAGACGCCTACCTGATGCGTCTTCGGCGGCAGACTCTTACCTTTACAACCACCCGCCTCAAAGAATATTTGAGCGAGCAGCAGCACAGACGAGAGGCGGTGGCAACCCGGCATCAGGTTCTCCTTCGCTCCTACCAGAGCTCTCCGCAAAGCCCCACCGGTCCGGTCACACCGGCTCTGCCCGCTTCCCCCGTCCCCCTCTAAAAGTAGGCCTCTGAACACGAGATGTGGACGACGCTGAGGAAGAACACGAGGAACACCCTCAGCGTCGGACGTTGAGCTGCTTGCTGACGTCGAGCCTTCAAGGCCTGAGTTGCTGAACTCAGTTGGCAAAGGGCCATGAAATGCCAAGCAACACGTCGCCTGGAATCCGACTGAATTTTGTCGGTTTTGTTAGCGACCTTCATCTATCGCAGGACGTTACCTCATGTTTGGAACTTGGCTGAAATGCTCTTCTTATACCTGAAATTGAGCAACACGTGAGTTACACGCTGCAAACATTGCTTCCTTTTCACACGATAGCAAATCCATCATCCCTTTATTATTAAAAGCCTCACGTTTGTGCTACCTATGAACAGCGATTTGAAGTTTCGGCACAGTTTTAAAGACTCGGTCTGGTTTTTTTTGAGCAAAGAGATGCATTTGTGGGCGTGCCACAAGGGCTACTTCGATCAATACTTGGACTAAGACTCTCAACGGGAAGGCAAGGAAAGAGGAGTTGAATCTCAGGAGATGCATTTATTTTGAAAATATCCAAAACAGGGGACAATTTGCTCCGGGAGAGATGCCTCCTTGCGGGAGTAGAAAAAAAAAAAACACCTCAGTGGCTACCATCTTACATATTTGCTTGTTTTTCCTGATTATAGACCAGACCGGGTTCTCACCGCTCAAAGTTGAACAAGCCATCACTTTGTTCCCAGACTCGGTGATTTCAAGATCGATACCGAGTTCATGGAAATGTATCATGGAGTGCAAATTAGTCTCATTTAAATTTAGATCCCAAAAAAATGACAGGAAAATACGGAGCCCCTAAAGTGACTTGGAGGAAGAAAAAAAATAGTTGCTCATGAAACTTTCTCATCTGAATGAGAAACGTTCTCGTCCCGACGAAGAAACGTTCTCGTTCCGAGGAGGATGCTTTCTCCTGCTGACGAGAAACAAATATCTTCTTTTAGCTGGTCTACTTTGTAGTGCAGAGGTCTTGGGTTCGATCCCGGCTCCGGCCTCCCTGTGTGGAGTTTTCATGTTCTCTCCGGGCCTGCGTGGGTTTTCTCCGGGTACTCCGGTTTCCTCCCACATTCCCAAAACATGCGTGGCAGGCTTATTGAACACTCCAAATTGTCCCGAGGTGTGAGCGTGAGCGCGGATGGTTGTTCGTCTCTGTGTGCCCTGCGATGGGCTGCCAACCGGTTCAGGGTGTCCCCCGCCTACTGCACGAAGACGGCTTGGATAGGCTCCAGCACCCCCGCGACCCTTGTGAAGATAAAGCGGATCGGAAAATGGATGGATGTCTGTGTCAGACTTCTGAGCTTTCGGGTTTGAATGTCACGCTTCGGCGTCATTTGGCAATATTGTCGGAGTTTCTTTAATTGGGTCTAGGTCCCGAAAAAGTATTTGCTAAGTTGATCTTGCCGTTTTGCCGTTCTTTGTCATTTCTCAAGTTCCGCTGTGGACAAGAACCACCGGAGGAGTGTTTTTGATTGAACCGACAAAAGGCGCCAATTAGGCAAGCGAATGTACTTTTCAGTTCCTCTCTTTCCGCCTTTGCAATGTCATGATTGAAGTATTTACTGTAAAACCAGACAGCAGGGTTTTCTGAAATATGATGATACCTATTTTGTATGAAATGCTCTTCTGTATTTTGTGAATAGTGCATTGCGGTGCCTCGTGATGAATGTTAGACTCCGAAAAAAAAAAAAAGTTGCTTCGACGAATGAAATGTTTGCTACGATGACTATTGTGAGTGTGACGGCGACTTCTCTGCGTGCGTGGTTCACATTTGTTTATTTATTGAGTGACTGTTTGTTTCAGCCTCCGCTTTTTCTTTTTTGTGACTTGCTTTGGCATGGAAAATGGCATGATCGGTGGCTATGCAAATAAAGAAATTGTGACAAATAAGATTACAATTTGATCGTAACGTGAAAAGTGACTGCGGGATACCCCTCGGACGAGACAACCAACAAATTCAACCAGGTTTCCTAAAAACATGCTTTTGTCCACTATCCCAAGGATCAACTTTGCACAGCCGCTTTCTTCAAGGGGTGGCCGAGGACCAAGTTAAAAAAAGTGAGTGCGAAATTCAAAACGCATGAGAGGCGCCACAAGTCACCACTGATTGTGTTTTCCCTGGTGGAGGCAGCACTTCATCACCATGTCACTTCAATACACTTTTTGCAACTCTCAATGAAAATTTTTTGATTTTCACCCTGCCGAGTGGAGGAGAAACTCAAATAATTGTGACCTTGCAATTGGGCAAAATCCAGTCGCAAAAATAGGCTGTGAACAGAATAAATGACACTGTTGTTTACTTTCACACCTGCTGGCTGAGCAGGCAGGCCAGGAGTCACAACAATTTTTATTCAATAATATTATACATGCCTGCGTGGGTTTTCTCCGGGTACTCCGGTTTCTCCCCCATTCCAAAAACATGCATGGCAGGTGAATGGAACACTCGACACTGTACCCAACCTCCTGCTCGGAGACGGCTGGGATGGGCTCCCGACACGCCCGCGAGCCTTGTGCGGATAAGCGGATGGATGGGTGGATGGGTGAACATTGAGTTATAATTGCTCTTTGATTGATATATTTCAGAGGAAATGACTTCATGTGGGAAACAGCCGAGTGGTCCCAATCAGTGCATGCGAAGGCCCACCAGAAGGTGACGCTACAACGCATTTTACAAGCGCGGCCTTGAATCTCCGGTGCCGAACACTGCTGCCATCGAGAGGGGGCCAGCGTTCAGGAATGGAAGTGATGTCTTCAATTTCACATGACAAGCCGTTCAGCTCAGTAAGCACCAGCATCCCCAAAAACGCAAGTCGTATAATTTTTTTTTTTTAGCTCACTTGTTCTAAAAATGCACTAAAGGTCCATACTCCATATTGCCCTGCTGCTTTACTACACAGGACAGTTTTTGCACTCTTGACATACCACCAAATGGGGTGTGTGACTAGGTGAGAATAATGAATTGACAAATGGGAGGTGGTCACGATTGTTCACTTGGATTCCAAGGTGGATTGATGTGGAGAGCATCAGGCTCGACCCGAGTCCAGTTTGGCCGGGATGACCCGGCCCATTCCCTGTGCATTGAAGGGGTGCGAAGCAGCTTGTCAGATTGTAACAGCATATCGGGTATCAACATGGCAGAAAATCAGCATGTTCACTTGGATTCCAAGGTGGAGAGCATCTGGCTCGACCCGAGTCCAGTTTGGCCGGGATGACCCGGCCCATTCCCTGTGCATTGAAGGGGTGCGAAGCAGCTTGTCAGATTGTAACAGCATATCGGGTATCAACATGGCAGAAAATCAGCACGGGGGTGTGGGGGTGGGGGCTCTTTCTTGCTACCGTTGCATATAATTAGAAACAGCGCGGCGCAAAGGCACGCCTTGGCGGGAGGCCTCCCGCAGAAGAGCCGCTTTCAATTTAGCAGGCTAAAAACATGCCGACGTGGCGCGAGGTCGTCGCTGCCCCTCCGAAGCGCTGTCGTCTCATTATCGGCGCGACGGGCTCTAGGATCGACACCAAGATCCCAGCCGCCGCGCACGAGGTGCCCGGTGAACAATTCTGCCGCGGGGAGAGATTTATCGCGTGACACCCAGTTCACTGCACATTTTGCTCGCCATTGCCCTTTGACTGAAAGGCATTTTGGAGGCCATTTGTCTTGGTCCGTGTAACGCCGACCCGGCATGCAACGCTACATCAGCGAATGTGGCCCGGAAAGGACAGAATTGCTTCATGTAGCGGGTTCTCGCTTTAAAATGCTATCCACATCCACCGCTCGGGAGTTCCAAAACGGTTTGTGCAATGGGAGGCGTAAGAACGTCGTCAGTTTACTGTGTTGTTTTGTTTGTTTTTTTTTTTTTTTTGTCATGATCTTTGTTTTTGGTTTTGATGATGTTGAATTTTACTTCATGTTTTCATCCGTCCCTTTTTCATGTCTTGACTCCTCGTTTGGTTTTCTCCACCACCTGCCCCTCGTATCGACCAATCAGCGCTTTTCATCCATTCATGTCTTGTCCAGGTGCACCTCGTTGTCTCATCCATTTTTTTTCTATTTAGTGCCCTGCCTCTCATCGTCTTCAGTGTTGTTTGTTTTGGTTTTGGCCTTCGTTACTTGCCGTAGCCGTTTTACTTATTGGTTTGATTTCCAAATACTTCCTGTAATTCGGACTTTCAAACTGCGGCAGCATAGCGTCGGGGTCGACGACGTTGTGTTCCAAGTCCAAATTTGGGTGACGTTGAATTGGTAGCAACACCGTTTTGTCATCAACCAAGCCCCTTTTTTGATATTGTGTTGTGTTTTTTTGACAACTCAGCACACACAGACAATGCCTGAAAGAAGCATCACATGGGAACACGTAAGTTGGACAAGCATAGACACAACGCAGGATTTCAGTATTCCACCAGAGTTGGAGCGTTTGACATCTTCATTTTCTCTATTTGATAAATGCAAATGAAAAAGCAACCGAGTGATTTCTTGAATGTTGGCCGGTCCCCTCCCACGTCCGTTTGTCGACCGGGGTGAGGGCTCAGAGCGGCTCGAGAGAGCGTGTGCCTCATCGTTTACCACTCGCCGGCTCGTACGGGCTATTTTGAACACGCTGATGTGTGAAACCTTAGACGAGTGAATGCCCTGCATGGCGTGATGTTTTTTTACACTACGAGCTTCACCTGCCCGCTTTCCTCATACGTGTTTGCGCACAAAAACTTCCACTTGGGACCAGCGAGGAATGCCCCGAGCGGCACAGCCGAGCTATAATGAAGGCCGTCTCGTGACTTTGTCCGCTTTCGGCATCGGCTCATGTCGTCGACGGGCCGAAGCCTCGGTGGAATGAGGCTAGAAATCAGGTCACATTTTGAATCAAGTGGGTCAAGCCGCTAGCACCTTGAGAAAAAAAAAAAAAAAAGAGGATGAACAGCTGCCGATTCAATGTGGAGGTGATAACTACGACGAATCAACCGTTGTGTAAGTAGATACAGAAAGTAACAATTCTGGAAGTGACAATATGATGTGCACTTTCAGTGTTCAAATATGCCACCCTGCAGTTTTGAAAAAAGAAAATTTGTCATGTTTCGATGACTGCGACTGTTTGTCATTCATCCAACGTATTAAACTGACCCACTCCAAAATTAACTGTGTGTACATAAATGATTTTATAGCGGGTTGAATGAATGACCCCTAAATTTTCAATTTGTAGAATTTTGTAGACCTGTTTAACTGTATTTTGATTTCCTCGTTTCACAGATGTATTGAAGTTCCAAAATCTCGACCAAAGCAACAGTCATTTTGGGTTTTTTTTTTGTTTTTGCAAATATTAGCGGTTCTTGGATTCATTTCCATTTGTTTTTGTTTTTGGACTGGGGAAAGTGTGTCAAATTGACCGAATTTTGGCGTCGTGTCGCAAACTTCCAAATGCAGCAGGAGCGTTACCACACTGATCAACAAGAGAGACAATGAGCGCGCGATGCCACGGCCAACGCTGCGGCAACACCTTTTGGTTTTGCCCATCACTGTGTCACACGGGATTTTCAAAATTGAAAATGGGAACGCTCCATAACAAGCAAATCCCGCCGCAGTCGATACGACACGAGCAGTGGAATAATGGCGATGCCTCTGGCTTTCTTTCTGTTGTCCCACAGCATGTGATATGACATTTCCTTAGCTCAGCCGTGTCGGCCGGCGAGCAAATGAGCCCCAGAGGTCACTCACAGAGCACGTAAATGTCACGGTAGTGAGGGAAGGTCACTATTTTGCAAAAATCACTGCACGGGGATTGGATTTCTGCACTCTCGTGCGGCAAATAAA